TTCCCTGGTTCGAGGCAGCGGGAGCAGCGTAAATAGAGCCCTGTGAAATTGTCCGCTGTTCGAGGAATCGAGAGTGCATCCGATGTGCAAATCGGTTTAACGAGAGGTCCCTCCCCTCCCGTCCCCTCCCGTCGGCCCGGTATTCCGCCCCCATAAAATAACAACAGGCATCGTTTCCATGCGTCGCATTTTCAGCTCGACGCCATTATCTCCGCCGGCCGCTCTCGCTCGGACACGGGCGGCGCGAAGAACGATTATACGAACGAAACTCGCGACACAAAATTCGTTTTATAGGATCGCCGAGTTTTCATCAGTTTTCGAGACTCCTCGAAGTGGATGATATTATCTTGGATCGGATTGGGCGAATAACTCGGTGGAGGTTTTTTTCGATCGATATTCGATTGAATTTTACGTTATATATATATGTATATATATAACTCGAAATTATTTGTATTTGTATCTGAACGATCTGTATCCGTATTTTCATTTCGGTCGACGATAATTTCGAGTTCGAAAGTTTTTCTTTCTTCAATTCGAAGTTTGACGTGGGATCGTGTGGGAAATAACATTGGAAGGGGGTTATAAAAGGGGAAAAATATATTCGTAATAATAGGTGGAGAAACGTGTCTTGCAAATTTTTTTAATAACAAAAACTTTGTGATTCCGCGTAAGGTAATAATGACGGTGGTACTCTCAACCTTTTTTATTTAAGGGCTTCGGAATATTTTTCGTTTCAAACATTTTCGTCCGTTTTTCCATTTTCTCCACCATTTTCGATCGTCCCTCTCTTTCGATAAAAGCGATAAAAATGGAGAGGAGAGTCCTCTTTCGTCACGATACAATTTATTTCATAATACTCTTTACTTGTATCTTTCACGATATCTTCTCTTTTTCTCTAGAAAAAAAAAAAGAAAAAAGGAAAAATGTAACGTGAATAAAAAAATAAAAAGTTTTATTTTCGGTGTGGAGAAACGATCGCGAGACGGATAAATGAACGGGTGGAGGGCGGAGGGTGTTTCGTCGAGTGGCGCTGTTAAGGAAAGTCTTATCAGGGAGAGGGGCGGGGGAAGGGCAGGAAAAGCTAAAGGGAGGAACGTGCGCTTATGCCGGCGGTGTTTGTTCAGCCGCAACTTCTCTAAATCTTTTGTGCATCGTGGAGGGTTGTCTCGTGTACACTCGGTTACATATGTGTCTCGTTCACCTATGTAAAGCTTCTTCTTCAGGTACTTCCCACACACAAACAATGCTTTTCGCGTGTATATATATATATACATAGAAAGGAACGACGAAGAGAATACTTGGAAATGGAGAAAGAAAATTCTCGAGAACTTTACAATCCTCCCAAATTTCTCGTAATTTCGAATTCGAGCAACGTTATACAACGTTCAATAGTTTTCATACGTTGCCAATAAATCGTTTAACGTTTAATCGATAAAGGATACTTTTACGCGTAATTGCTCGAAAACCCGCATAAAATTATTCTCTCCGCGCCCTTATTCATTTTCTCGGCCAAATAAACCGTTCATGAATCCATCCATTAACACGTTAACCAACGAAGACACGATTTGGAAGAGCAATT